GAGAGAGAGAGAGAGAGAGAGAGAGAGAGAGAGAGAGAAAGCTTACGTATTTAAGTACATCGGATGATTATATTGCTGATTGTATGCGCATTGTCTAATTAATTATTTAAATGCACCAGAAAGTTCACAAACTCTACGATATTTTCAGAAGCTTGTTTTTTCAAAACATCATTTTTTTATGTCTTTAAATTAAATTACGTGATTAAAGATATGTAATAAAAATAATTTTTAACAACTTATGTCAATTGTGTAGATAACAGAAAAATTTATAATAAAGATATTTTCTTGTTTTTATGTTTTTAGATAAATTAGATATTAAATAATTAATTAAAAATGTAATGTGACTTACTTTGTAAAATAACAATGCATTTAATATAATTTGTGTCACATTATATATTTGCATTATCCTGTATAATTTAAAAGGCTGTCTTTTTTCCATAAGTCTTGGTCCAAGATTATATATAAAATATATATAAAATCCAATTAAAATTAGGCCAGGCCATGGCGTGCTCATTAGTAAATAATCTTTGGTACGTGGATCTTGAAATAAAAGAAATAAATAAAATTAATAAATGTGTGAATTATTAAAAACGTTAAAACAATTTTTCTTATTATCTATTATAAAATGTACCTTAAATATATATAATAAATAAAACTGTTTACAAATAAGCAACAAAAATAAACTTTTGTTTTGCCTTACGATTTTACAAATCATTTCTTATAAATTTTTGATTTCTGCTAAATACGAATCTAGGCGTGAAATGTTTCTATCATATCGGGATTTGAAAAATCTGCTATAAAAGTTGCCAAAATCGTAATTTTGACATTTTTGATAATTATAATAACAACTCTGAACTGATTATATGCCAGAAACTTCCGCAAAGTTTGAAACGACAGATCTAAACTACTATAGTTATAGAGAATAAAAAATAAACCAAATAAGGGTAGTTTTAAGGTTGAATTGCATTGAAACTGACCTTATCTAATCTATAAACTCGCTCAGGAACACATTAACTCTAGAAGACAAAATTTTAAAAATTTGCAAACTTAAATTTTTTTCAAACTTAATAGCCTTAGTAAATTTTGAATTTTTAAAATAAATTTAAAATAATTTAAATTTGTGTTTAGTGATCCCAAAAATATAAAAAATATAAAACCATTATATTTTGTGGAAATTTGTTTTTTATTTATTTTTTTTTATGTTACAGCATAATATATTTTTTGTTTCAAATTTTGCGGAAGTAGTACACCCCAGTCCAGAGTTATTAATTTTCAAAAAATGATACAATTGCGAATTTTAGTAACTTTCATAGCAGATTTTTTAAAATCCTTAACGTAATAGAGACGCCCAAATTCATGTTTAACGGCCAAAAGATATAAGAAATGACTTGTTAGATCTCAAGACAATTAATTTCGTGTTATGTAACTATTTTAAATATGTTACATTAATTTGATGTAGATACTGTGTCTTATATGATTATACGATTATATCATGCATTTTTTAATTGTATATAAAAATTAATGAAGTCTATATTGATAATGTGGCGACCGTGGCGCGAGGAGCAGCGCGGCAGCTTTATCTGTTCAAGATTTGGGATTAAATCCACCCAGAATAATATAACTCTGAAATTAATTTTAATCAATTCTCTCGGAAGGCAACGGTAAATCATCGAGAATATATATATCTTTGCCAAGAGAACTTCTTAAAAAATTGCCGCTATTCGGAACCGGTGTTTAAATTGTAGGTCCCGACATCTGCGTAAAAGTGTAAATAGCGCACATCGCAGAAATACAAAGAGAGGTCACCATGCTCTGACAAGAGTAGTAGAAGAGAGAGAGAGAGAGAGAGAGAGAGAGAGAGAGAGAGACAGAGATATTGATAACAAATATTTATATAATACTTTTATTGCCAAAATTTAAGAAATATCTTAAAATATATACGTTATAAAAACGAAAAGATATAACGACGAAAATTACTTTGTTATTTTTATGTGATTTGTGATATTTCTTTTTTCGTAAATTCTGATCAATTTATAATTAATGAAAATATATATTGTTTTTACGATAAAAAACAAAGAATTTGATAATAATTTGGCAGTTAATCTACTTGTTGCTATATTATTATGCTACACGTATATGTGAGTAGAATATTGCAAAAATTAAAAAATTAAAAAATCGATGCTATAAAAATGTAACTTAATAATATGGAGATATATGTTAATAGTCATATTATAAATTATGTATTACTAAATGCGCTCATACATACAATATTTTCTAAATATCGTTTAATATTTTAGGAGTTGAATTGATTTAATAATTAATTTAATGATTTTTAAGATAATTTTTTGTAAAAAAAGTTTTTATATCTTATATTATCTGAAAAGTTTCATTACAAAGATACAAGGTGTTACAAATTTTATAAAATCAAATTTTATAAAATTTATATTTTTTAATAGCTTTTAAACGAAAAGACGTGTTTTTTCTCCAATAAAACAAGGTATTATTCATTATTATTCATTATTTATCTATAGTCACCGTTTTATTAAAAATCAATGGAAACGGGATTTAGATAATATATTACTAACTGAGGTGCAATAACATATGATTAAATTAACTTAAAGATATACAATATTAATATACATATACCAAATTCAATCGTTGGTGTTCAATAATCTATTTTTATATTTAAGACTATCTTATGTCTTAAAATGTCACCACAGAGCTATGATATTAATTATAAGACATAAAATACCAGCCAATGTTAATATTTCAAAAAATTGTTAAGACATTAATTAAAATTTAAAATACCTTAGCCGTATTAACATTAAGATATTAATAAAGACATAAAATATCAGCCATTTTGAAGAAAGAGTTGAATTATTTTTAAAATTTTCTAGCATCGTATTTCTAAAATAATTAATTTTTTAAAATCTTTTTTTATTTAAAAGCTATTAATAGAAATAATTTTTAAAGTTTAACATTTCTAAAGTATGTAGCCTTCGAGATTTTAAATTCATATGAATTAAAATGATTTTCTTTATAAAACGACTTCAATAATCGACTTTAATAATCGACTTAGAATATTGGACACTGTTTAAGAAATTTAAAGTAAATAAAAATATATTTGTTTATGCATAAATATTTATAATAGCAGCATTAGTGCCATTACAATTAACCATTAACCATTAACGGCGCGACGCCAAGTATCTATAAAGTAAAAAAAATCAGATGATGACCTGTGCAGTACGGCACTAACATTGTCGAGACGCTTATAAGCCTGCATATTTTTGTAAATCATGCATACAAATTCATTAGGTAATCTTTACATACGTACATAATTTATAATTTAACACAAACAAAATTAAAATAAGCTTCAATAAATTAATATCTCAATTTTCCAAGCGTTTTATGTTGCTAAAGATTTCTTCTTTTTAAAATATTTTCATAATTTTAAGATATCACGAACTATTTGTTTTTTTTTGTAATATTTTATAATATTCTTTATACAAATTAATCCAAAAAATATGATAAATATCCGTAAATTAAAAATCTAAGTAAGTATATAATGTAATAACTGTAAGTATATAATGAGCCAATAAGACAAAACATTTACCCGCCAAATCGTAGTTAATATATTTATACCATGCTATAAGTTTTTGTATCATTCCAGCCATGGTGACGATATTGAATAAACTTTGATGCTATTTTTATACAATTGTCCAAAGGAAGACGGCATGCGATTACAGCTTATCACGATTCAGATGAACCAGAAGGGAGAACGTTGATAATTAATTTGTTCTTCTTCTTCCTTATTAATGTGTTAGTAGTTTCGACGAAAAAGCGTGTTTTTTCAGTTTCAGCTTTTTTTTAAGCACTTGTTTCTGATTATTCTCGACTCCGACGAATTAATTAACTTGAACCTTAGCGTTTTTATTTGATCACTTAGGGGATACTTTTACTGACTACGCTTTTCAACAATTTCCTTCAACGCGCGACTAGTCACTATGAAGCTTGCAAATCGACTGCGGCAACGCGTTTTCCCTTTCCACTCTGTCACAATGTTAACATTTCATTGTATTATAATTATGGCAAGCTTGTGTAACATACACGTCATCTTCCAAGGGGTATACACCGCACAGTGATGTATACCCTTTTTAGGTAACGTGACCTCTTAGGCAACTTGGCCCATCATTACAATTATGAAGAAGAAACATTGAATATTTATAGATGATTATATTATGTGTAGAATCCAAGTTTAAAAATTTATTTAAATTCCGACCTTTCACCATTTGTCGAATTATCGATGTTTCACCTTCGGCCAATTTAGCCAGTTCATTGATGATAGTGTTTTTCTGAAGCATGCAGTAATATGCCATCGATATTTGATATGCGTCATTCATTAAACGTGTTTCAATTACAAAAATTATTTAATAAATAAGAAATAAACACTGCATATTTTCAGTAATAATTTTATACAAAAATAGAGTATACAGTTATTATAAGATATTTTTAATTAATATTATTTTTACTTGTCAGTATATAAATAAATAATAATTATTATTTTTATTTACATAAAATTATTTAAAATTATTTAAAATTATAATATACAATTAATATTTTAAATTCCTGTTTTATTTATAATAGAATATAAATTTTATTATATTTGTTTGATAATAATTAATTGTAATATATAATTATTAAAATATTATTATATTTTAAAATTATAATGTATAATGTTGAAATAAGTATTATGTTTCGTCGATTTATAAAAATATTGATTCATTGTTTCTTGTTAATATAACAAGAAAGAAATTTTAGCAAATATTTAATTTAATTTAACATTGCAACAATATTACTTCTTACATATTGTATGTATCTATAAAGAAAATAATTGTTTTTTTAAATCTAAATAAATATCTATCTTTTTTAGCTGACAATCTTGTAGTTGAGATAGTTAATTTTCAAAATTTTTTGAGCCGCTAATTCGTTGGCAACACAATTCTTCAGTTTCATCTTACTCGCGGATAATTGCAGCTAATTGCAACGTAATTGCAATGTTCAGACGCGCGACATATTGTTAAGAATGCGAATATGAAGCATTGCAACAATCGCGACCGACATTCAGAAAAGATTTACAAACTACGACATTGCTATTTCTAAATAGTTTGTAACAGGAAAATTGTTTATTTACCTTCACTTAAAATATGTGTTAATATTTATTTATCTATTAATATTCATCTAATATCCATTAATTATGATCTCACTATTCTTCAATTTATAATTGCGATGCAGATCTGACATTAATTCGATCGTAGAAGGCGCTCTTAAATTTGTGTATGTGTATTCACTTACGCAGTCTAGTTCAACTATTACTATTGCTTGTCTTATTATTCGATTGATAGCGTAAGTAAAAAGTACATTAATCAGATACATAATAATCATATAAATTGCTAACGAAAAAGCTTCAAAAATTGATTTTACATAACAATGAAAAAAATTAATTTACACATAACTCATTATTTTGTAATTATAACAATAACCTCATTATTTTTTGTAGTTCTAATAACAACAATGAAAAAACAAATGAGAAAAGTTAATTTACATACAACTTATTATTTTGTAGTTATAACAATAACCTCGTTATTTTTTGTAATCCTAATAATAACAACAAAAAAACAAATGAAAAAACTTAATTTTACATACTGCTCATTATTTAGTAGTTCTTTTTTGTCTATCATATCCGTTTATTGATTATGGAACAGTTGCAAATTCTACAAATTATTAACAAGTGTTTTCGTAGAAATCAATCAAGAATTTTATCCAAAAACTTTTTATGCAACTATTTTTTACCAATTTCGAAATACCTCAGCGTTTCAAATATTAACTAACTATTATATTAAGAAGTAATTAAAATGTGCATAAATTGAATGACAGTTGCGGATTCGATAAAAATAAATTAAAAATTTATTTTTTTACCGAACCTAAAGAACCTGGTTGATCTTTGATTATGTAAACAGAACAAAGAAATTTTATAAGAAATTATTTAATCTGATGACAAACGAGCCATTTCTTATTTTATTTAATTATATTCGAGTTCATAATGGATTAACAGGTCGTTTTTAACATACAATGTGCTGTCACTGACCGCGTAAAACAAGCAGCAGCATCCTTAATGTGCTAATTATAGAAAATATATTTTAATCAGAAAATATCATAAATGAGAATTCTCCCGTTAGCATTGCAATTTCTGTTGTTCGTGTTTGCTAGTATTTTGATGCTAATAAACTGATTTAACACACAATTGTGTCAAACCTAGTTTATTACATTGACGTCAGACATTTTTGTTATGCAAAACATTATAGAAAAATTTCAATAATGACGACTTTAATTAAACATAAGTATTTAAAAAAAAACCAATACTGTAAATACATATAGAATAATATTCCAGTGAATTTCAATATTATAGCTTTTTGTGTTATATTGATTGCAAATTTCGGCGATCCACGTAAAAACTATATATATATTTCTTAATATCTGTTTCCGATCACTTTTAATTATTATTCTTATTTGTCAATTTTATCATATTGTTATTATTTTAATAATTATTTTTATTAATTTAAAGATTGTAAAATCAACATTAGGAATATAAAATTTACAAAATTACATTTATCAAATCAAGCATTAAACGATGATTGCGACGTTTGTCGTGTTTAAAAATTTAACGTATTGTCGCTGACACGCAATATTTCATATTCCATTAGTGCTGACATTTCTCATTAAGTTCACAGTTATAATTAATTCTTGCCGGAATGCGAGAACCGTGTACTATTACTCGTAAATAATTGCAGCTACAACATCTGAAGTGAAAGTAGTGTAAGTGTGATAATTACATATAGAATGAATATTTTATTTGTAGAATCCTATCTATAAAAAATATAAATAATAAAACAGCAATAGCTATATTATACGTTAATTTAAAATTTTGCAAGTAGAAACATTTTCCTGAATTTTTTGAAAAATTTTGTATATATATTTTAATTTTTCCAAACATTTCTTTTCAACATTTTATATGTTATTCTTTATATAAATTGAATTTTTAAATTTTTTCGGCAATTTTTATCTATAGATATAATAATAAAATCTGTATTGATATTTGTCCTGTTACTAATATAATGACTGAAATTCATACGAAGCGGAAGCGAAAGCTTCTAGTGAGTTCTAAGGCCATGACCTCGAACTCTTGCATTCGTCTTGCATTATACGATGATAGTTTATAATTCAAATGATTTTGTAATGATTAGTTAAATGGTTACGAGTCAGAAAATATAAAATATAAGTTTGAAATAAGAATATAAAAAAATTCTTGTATTTTACATTTCTTGTTAAGAGAAAGTAATATAAAGTAATGCCAAATCTGCCCACATTATACGTACTGATTTAAAGTGCATTACATATTATATTAATTAATGTAAAGAATTAAAAAAAAATTGACAATTTGTATTACAAATAATAGTGTAAATGTTTGAAAATTGCTTGAAAAAAAAGTAAGTAATTTAAATATGGTTTAAAGTCAGCATGCGTTATTGTTTTTAATTATAAATATCGTGATTTGCATAAAAATAGCTAGTATCCGTGTAATCAAAACACTAATTGTAAAGTAATGTAAAATAAATAATTGTTGAAAAAATTATTATTACAAAACAGTTATTTACGTATAATAATTAACAGAAAAAAATATATACATATCACACACACACACACACACACACAC